ACACACACACACACACACACTCTCTGTCTCTCTCTCTCTCTCACACACACACTCTCTCTCTCTCTCTCTCTCTCTCTCTCTCTCTCTCTCTCTCTCTCACACACATTTAAGTTTATTCTCACAACCTCACAAAATATGTGTTTCTAGAGGCTTTGTTCTATCATTACCACATGCAGGGCTATTTGGTTAGCTAGTATAGCAAGTGGCTGGCTCAAAGTAAACACATAAATGACTTTCTGCCTGCTGTTTGTTCTTAAAGATGGAAGGTTAAACAATATATTTCAATGGTTACTTGTCCTTAAAAGACTATTGCCACTTAAAGGTAAAGGTTTTGTATCCACATTGTGTCAGGATAAATGTAACCCTTACTTTTTAAGTCAGCTCTTCTCAGGAGAATTGTATGATCCCTTTGCCTGCCTTCTGGTATGGCTGCCTTGTTTTTTTGTATGAACACGTATTATAATCTATAGCGAACATGGAAAAAAACGTGTATTGAGTCTAGGGAGTTTTAACCTATAATTTCTTGAACCATTCAGTAGCACTGACTGACCCAATGGCTGCTTCATGCTCAGTAGTGCCAGAAGCATGGAAGAAAGCATGAAAGCATAAAGAGAAAATAACCTACTAAACAGTCTTTGAGTGAAAAACTTCTAGTATTTCCGGTAAATCTTCACTTTGATACAAATAAAATAAACGTACTTACTAACTTCAGTATATCTTTAAAAAACACTTCTCAGTGCAGCTTGCATGCAAGGACATGGACACAATTAAAAGTAACATTAAAATAAAAAGCTCATACAGTATTGCAGACATCAAACATAATCATGTGAAATCAGGGCAACAGAGTGGATGCTAAACATTTATATCTATCACAGGAGCAGACATGTTTGCACAGTTGTCCTATTTTTTTACCTCCATTCACCCAAATACAGTATCTGCAACTTAAAATATCAAACCAAGACAGGTAAAAATCATATATTCCTTCATGTCTAATAAATGAATACCACATAAAGCATCTCCCATCTTATTAAGCTAACCATTCAAGCCCCTGAACATGCAGAGAAGTCTATAAATGTTATCATGTATACAGGGGAAGCAGCAAAACATATTTTAGCAAATTAAAACATAAAAACTCATGATAAATGATTTAATGAGTACAACGAGTCCTCATAGTAGTGTGTCAGGTCAAACTGAACACATTTCTTGAACAGTAACCAAATGACCTATTTATTCTTTTACTTTTTATGAAGGTTTTCACATCTGATGCAAAGCATTGGGACAGTGAATCTACCAACAGTGAAAATGTTAGTTCTCAAGTGGGATGCTTAAAAAAGATAACAGCACTATAGTTCTAAAGGCATTCAAGTTCTGATGGCAGCCTCCAAGCGGTGCCTTCATCCATAACATTCATCTGTTTGCAACTTACAAATTATTTATCTAATACAGGGGCGGGGAACCTTTTTCCTCTCAAGGGCCATTTCAATTTTTACAACATCCTTCGAGGGCCGTACAAATTATTGAACTCAACGTCTGCTTAAAAAACTCAAATCACAGCCCATTCATTTCGCGTTTCTTTCATGCTGTGCAAAGAAAAAGCAACCTCTTAATCCAGATATTTGACCATGACCCGCGCATTCATACACCGTGGCATGACCACCAAAACAGAAAGATATGGACACAAGATGTGTGCAAATGTATTTAGTTTCATATCCATGTGAACATGATTTAAGTGGGGGGGCGGATCTAACCTCATCTAGGGGGGTTTGGGGGCATGCATCACCAGGAAGATTTTTTTTAAATGTTGAAGTTAAAAGCATCAATCTGGTGCACTTTGAGAGCAACATGAAGAGATCTATGGATACATCTCTCAACACCCATATGAAACAGAACTGTACACAGATTTCTTTCTTTATGGATATTTTACAAATCACTTCCCTTTTAAACTGTATTCTTGTTTATTAATAACAACTTTTTTTTACTATCATATTAGTATTGTATACCTGTTTACTTTATTCTCTTATTTTTCTATAACTATAATGATCATATAAAGATGTGCCTTTACCTCACTGGTTGGAGAAAAAGCTTCTTATATTCGTTAGCATAGCTAGCTAACCAGATGCTAATAACAACCACGTTATTGACTGTATGATCAGTATGACAGATGAACAGATCGCCACTGGGCTTTCAACTAAAGACACAGCCACGCAAAAACTGCGGCATGTGTACGGCTCCTTATGGGTATTACAATTTGTGAAGTCCCGGCCCGGAGCCGCGTTCTGGTGCTCTTCGTTAGAACTACACTCCCGTCAGACGAGACATATACCACGTGATGACACGTTAGGCTCGTGTTGTGTTCAAGGACCCTGACCTTGGCTAGGAAAAACAGGCACTCGCTTGTTTAATTTTTTTGCGGTCTATATGTCTTTAATTTTTTTATTTTTTGCGTGTGTTTATAAATTACCTCGAGGGCCGTACCAAATGGTCTCGCGGGCCGTATACGGCCCGGAGGCCGGAGGTTCCCCACCCCTGATCTAATATATCATATTCAAATTACTTGTACTTGACTCTTCTTGCACTATTTCTATTTTATTTGCATTTACTTGCACTATTTTATCTGTTTATTATGTTGCACTGTTGGAGGAGCCTGGGACCTCAGTTTTTCATTGACATATCTACACTGAGGCTATGTACAAATTACAATAAATGCCTTGCGTCTTGAATCTCCCTGAGCTCAGTCACAGCAGAGGGTCGCAGGATGAGGAGGGGGGCTGGAAGGTCACATCTGAAGACTTTCCAGATGCATGCTTTGGGATGTAGATAACTATTCTTTGTGACCTCTGTTTCACTCACTCACATTTGTTCAACCTCTCAACCTGTCTCTCTTGTCAGCCTGCAGTATACAGAGGCGTGGGCCCCCCAGGTGCTCAGGTGTCTCTGGAGCAGCAGGCCTACATGCTGCTGACGGAGCCAGAGAGGCAGACCATGGTCTACTACCTGCAGGAGTACCAGGAGGGACACATAGGAGTGGAGCCGCTGACCATGGCTCTCTGTGAGCTTTTTAACACACATGCAAAGGTACTAAATTCATATATAGATCCATTCATTTTAGATTTTTGGAAAACTGTCTAAAGTATGCTGCAATTTCATTCATGTATATGGTCATGTTACATTGGGAATATGTTTTTCTTTAAATGCCCAAGAAGTTGATATTCTCTGCTCTTTGAATTATTCGATAACATGCTGTTATCCATATTAAAGCACACATAGCATGCTCTTATCTCAGGTTCGCTTCTCTTCTTCTCTGCTCCAGCTGTCCATGCTGGCAGACGTGAGAAGTCTGGTGGCTCCCCTGGACCTGGAGCTGTACGACAGGTTGGTGTTGCATCGTGAGAGAGAAGCCCACCAGGCCTGGCATGGAGGTCCAGGTGTCCTGCATCCTCAGGGCTACTGCAACCAGAATGCAGGACACGGCCACCCTGCTATGGTAGGTACATTATCCCACATCACATTACATCAATACTGTGGCATGTTAACATTTGAGCATAAAAATCACAACCTGCTTACATGTTTATCTTACATCGCCGCTAACCAAATCTTCTGAGAAAAATACTAGTGAAAATGATGTGAAGATACCTCATTGAATACAGAATCAAAACGTTAAAAAGTTATTAAACAAGAGAGGCCTTTCTCAATATTTTCCACACAAGTCCCCATGCAGTCCAGATGCTTGGAAGTGTTCTTGCTCACCTGTTTGTGAGGTGGGGGTAGTATCCCATCATGCATTTTGCAAGTAGCATGTATACAGTATATTATCATTTTCAACCTTCAGCTGTTACAGTGTCCCCAAATAATACTCATATTTATACAAGCATACTTATTCATTACTTACATTTTACAAAATGAATGGTCACTTTTCTGAAATGTGAGGACCGTTAATACATGTGTGCTGTCATCATAATATGTGTGGTTAATCTATTACAACTCCTAATATAAGGCTAATTGGATTTAATTGACAGACACTTAGTTATTCAGCAACAAACATTACGTTTTATTGTTATGTTATATTTCATTTTCATAGATTGATATTTCTTTGCAGTTTGGCTTCAAAGAAACACCACAGACCAAAAAAAAAAGGCCTAAAAACCCATCTTTTGAACAGAGCCGTTTACTAGAACTTTAACCACCCATTTGCTGCCTTGACTGCCTAATGCTTTTAATGCTTTATATTCTGATTATTATTATTTTTTATTTTGTTGCTAACATTTGACTCTGTAGACACTTTGAGTTTTGTGCACTTATAAATCAAATTGATTATTAGCATTATTACTAGGGCCGGGACTCGATTAAAAAAATTAATCTAATTAATTACAGGCTTTGTAATTAATTAATCGCAATTAATCGCATTTTTAATCGCATATAAATATTTGACCTGAGAACAGTGAGAAGCAATTTTTTTCACATGGATTTTAGTATACCATTGAATAATGACTGAATACATAAGCTTAAGCAACAAAACATTGTTTATTTTTTTCAAGGAGGTTCTTAACCAAGACCAACAGAAAAGTGCAATTTTTGCCATAAAGTGTAGCAATAGCATATTTAGGAATATAGTACATTTCAGAGATTCAGGTAGCCTATAGGTAGGTAGACCTTCTGTAAACTATAACACTTTGTTTTTTAAGTAAAACACAATACTTTCAAGTACATTCAGAACATTGGAAACCCTGACTATTAGAAAACATCTCTCTGTTGCTTCAGAGGCCATAACAGACTTTGTTGATTTACCAACAGTTGATTTAAAAAATCTAATACATTTCAGTCCAACTCTCTCAATAACCTTGGCCAAAACAATAAACAGTTCAACATAAAGTGCCAGTTGCACCAACAACGTAATAAATAGTTCAACATAAAGTGTACCATTTAAAATAAA